ACAAGAGACCCAAGGGAAGAAGAGTAAGGTCGAAGAGTACACAGGTGTGAGCATCGCTGTATCCTTCAACAGCAAGCACGACGAGCAGCAAAAGATCGGTCAGCTCTCTGGAGGTCAGAAGTCGCTCTGCGCGCTCGCCCTGATCTTTGCTATCCAAAAGTGCGATCCCGCGCCGTTCTACCTCTTTGACGAAATCGATGCCAATCTCGACGCGCAGTATCGAACTGCTGTTGCGCAGATGCTGGAGCGGTTGAGTGGTCATGGTGGAAAGAACGCGGATGGAGGTGGTCAGTTTATCTGCACGACTTTCAGGCCTGAGATGGTACACGTGGCGGATCGATGCTATGGTGTTACCTACACGAACAAGACGAGTAGCATCGATGTTGTTGATAGAGAAGCGGCGCTTGAGTTTGTCGAAGGTATGCAGAAGGCTTAATATGGGTATCAGCACAAGCATTATGCAAGTCGATGAAGGAAGTGTACTATGGAACTGTATGAGTCTTTTACGCAAGAAGAGGGTGCGCTTGTTTTGTGTCAATTCACGATTTTCATGTGTGCGATTATGGCGACTGGACTGGGAACGTGTTCGTAGGACTAGTCAGCTATGATTCTTCTGTCTTTATTTCCTGAAGTCCGTAACTCTACTCCAATCTGTGTTTTGTGCAGTGTAATGTACCGCGAGTTTGCCAGTCTGGTTGAAAAGGCGCTTTTACTACATCTTGACCTTGGACAAAGCAGCAAGAAGAAAGCTTGATTCTCAACCTTTTGGGTATTGGTAGAGAGCTATAGTAGATTTGAACGACTCCTTGATGATACCCACTTGCTCTCATATACTCATTTCAACGATTGATACGAGGGCTGGGGCAGCTTCTCTGGTAGCAGCAACGTGATCGACTTGTCAAAATGGGGCGTACGGCACCTGCCCACTGGATGCACAATGGAAACAAAACATCATTATGGATGTAAGCTGCTGTCTACAAGCCTCTATCGTAGCCTGTGAAGTTCGCCTGACAACCAGCGCGCAGCCTTGGCACTGGAGTTTGAGTCAAGAAAAGCAAATCCGACTGGAAGTCTGCTCAAATCAATTTCCCCCCGGTTTTGTTCTCTTCCTGACCATAATCCGAGGCGAAGGTGAGCCAACTGCCGTACGCTCGAACAGATTACAGCCAAACAGCGACGTGCTCGCTCTTCCTTCCGATGTTGTGTCTCTACACACGGCGACGGTACCCGATCTATTGATTATCAAAGCCGTATCGTCTCTTCTAGACCCTGCCTCCTGCCTCGCATATTGCAAATCATGCCATATACTGGCATTGATCGGTGTCGCAAATAGGCAAGTTCGAGCAAAGTGTGGGTTTCGTGCTGGAAGAGTTCGTCTCGAGATCGGGGTCTTCGCTGTACATCGTTGCATGTACACAGCTGAGGGGCTTGGCCTATGCGCTTCGAAAAGAGGAATTCGTGTCGAGAATCGGGGTTTACTAAGGGGATCGCGAGAGGGGTATCCACGAGCTAGCCGTATTTAGCGCTGACGGGTTTATTCCGGCAGTTCGGGTAGCGGCTTGGTGCTTTTGTCCGACGACAACACATCTCTCGCATCGTGATCACTGGTACTTGTGGCTGAATAGCTGCATCTAGGTATTGATTAACGCCGAATTTTGCCACTGTTCGCGCGTCCGGTCACGCTCGTAGACGTGGTTTCGACGTATCGTCTCTAGTGCAAGTGTGCTAACGCCCGACATGGACCTCTGCGTCCAACCTTCGAAGTAAGCGGTAGCTTGATTGCGCTGGCTAGGTTCAGGGGAATGCAGTGCAACTAGCAGCAGAGGCGTGGCCATGCGCATGTATGCGCACCCAACTGTATGAGTCTGCAAGTATTGCGAGGCCAGCAATACAGATGTGTAATCATCGGATAGGGTCGGAAAGCCATCTAGAAGTCGTGGCGTAATGAGGCTGAGAAGGATGCGAGCAACGCTGAAGTATGCCACGACGAGAGCAGTGAAGGCGTCGCGAAAGTGCCGAGTTTCGGTCGAAGTGTCCTCCCAGAGCAGTAACTTATCCGTATCCACTGCATCGTTCATATACTCAAGCCAAAGCACCTCAATATTGCTCTCAAGCACGGTGTAAGCATCGAGGCCAAATTCTGGTCGCGATGCGCCGGTCTTCCGCGCGACATAGACGTCCACCAGGTCGGATACATAGCCCATAAGCGTCTGAAACCGAGGTAACTCAACGTATCTCAATGGCCCGTACAAAATGCCTTGCATTCGGAAAGGTATCCTCTTGCTATTTCCGGTCAGATTGATGAATGTCAATTGAGTCCGGAGATGATCTGCAAAAGAAGTACAGTGTTAGCGCGCGTTACGTGTTTCTCCCGTACGAAAGAGACTGCCCTCTTGAGTTTCAGACAGGGTGTGGGATACAGTCTGAAAGGGTACATCATCCTCTCTTCCACGAACAATACAATGACGACCACAGCAAATACAGCTAGGCTTTATCGCATGAGGAAACTTACAGAAGATCTGACACAACGCCCCTTGTGAGCATTGTTTTGGTGTAGTCAATTCAAGCATCCGAACAGCTCCGAAAACGTGAGAACAATAGGCTGCGGCGTTGGTAGATTGCATAGCTTCAAATAAACTGAACAGAACGCTCGTAGACACCATATGTACCGTGACTTCTTGCTTGGTATGTAGACGGGAGACGAATCGACTGTGCGCCCGTAGGGCTTCTCCGTACATCTTCCATGAGTACTGTGTAAGTGCCATGTTTCCGCTTTCGGCAGCGCAGTAGGCAGATGCCGTAGCCTGTGCAGCCGTTGTCAGTGCCTCATTTGTGCCATCTGTTGTCAGAACAGGCAAGCTATGCAGCCAAGTACGTTGATTCCGAATGTCTTTGCTTTCGCCCTCGGACGTGAAGTGAGCCATAAAGTGAGCATAAAATGCCTCGGTCACCACTGCTCTTTGCGAAATCTGATACGACAACACTTGGTCAGAACGCGCGCAGCTCAGCGTGGACGATTCCGCGCTCTTGCTTGTTAGTTTTGACTTGCGCTTTCTCATTCCGTGTTTAGCAATGTTCGTCATGTCTACGAAGACGGGACCATCTGGTAGTCCGGGGCAGTCGTGACCGGTGCGAATGCACATAAGACATTTGGGGACTGTCGCATCGCATTTGATGCGTTTCTTGCGACAGGTTACACACGAGTTGGTTCTTGCAGGCATTTAGAGTGCTGGGAGAAGTTTCAAGAGCAAAGAGGGAGATAATGCATGTACTGACGGTGCTGCCTGAAGTTTCCACGGGGTGAAGCGATATCGGGAAGTTCCATCACATGCTAACGGAAAACAGCAAGCTAGCAGAAGCTTCCAGATTCGGGATAGCGCAACCCGCATCTACAAGTTCCCCGGAACCCTTGAGCTGAAGTAGATGTCCCTTGTCAGCGCGCGCAATCAAATTATGTCAGACATTCGTTTTCAGAGTAAAGTTGCGAGAAAAATGCTGCAGCGTGTGCGGATTAGATGGGTGTCCCAAGCTCGCGAAGACGGAGTTGCCTCGGGTGAAACACGTGCTGCTCTTTACGGCTACCTAGGTATGTGCTGGCGGGATTAGCATGTTCGCGGAAACACAACCGTACACTTCTGTCCCTTTGCATTCACGCAGAAGATAAATCGGCTCGTGTTACGAAAACTGATGCCTGGGAGCCACCCAAAAGATATGGGGTGTCGTCGCTGGAGACACATCATCAACAAAAGATATGTGAGTATCCGTTATTTACATTGATCCCTCAATGTGTACAGGTGGTTTATCTGAACTCTCAACAGCAAAGAAGCGAGGTAGGAGCCAGTTCCTTGCTAGGAATGACGTACGCGACCTGCATCGCGCGTACGGCTCAACGGCGTGTTGGCTACCTAGGCATATTCAAATAGCACGACAACCCAAACGCGTTCGCCATTCTTCGCTAGCCCTGCACATGCTGTAGTTTTTCTTGCTTCATTTTCTTTCCGCGCTGCAGAGAATTGACAGCTGTGGATGCCATGCGATCTGGCAGGCAACTTCCGCGGGGAGTCGCCGCCCTGCCTTCGATCCCGATCCCGACGAGGCGAAACCTGTTCATGATTTGCCGCAGGCCTGTATAATGGGCCACTGCTAAACGCATCCGACTATATCCACTCAACTTGAAGCCACAGCACAACGCTGCTTCGGACAGTGAACTAATGTAGAGGACTATGATTGGTGGGTGAACAGCCGCCTATCAATCCTCTGAAGGGTGCGTTTCTCCCCAGCACCACCACTACCACAACCACCAAACAACGATTCGTTACAATTCGCATATGCGTGCCTGCCTATTGTCTTGTCTTGAGACATCAAGCCACACAGTCCCGTAACCGTTCCTTTACCGTGGATTACCACCCTTCGCGCCTCAGGCCGTCCTGGCAGATCCGTTTCCCCTCATCGCTCCCAGAACAACCAGGCCCACGGAGACCTTGGCCGGAACCCAACACGTGACTGAAGTCGCTCCCCTGCGAGCTGCATCTGCACTGGCAGTGCGATCCTGTACTGATTTCCAATCACCGTCGGCCTGTGCTATGCAACGAGTCCCGCTCGGGCAGTCCAGTGATGGACAGGGTAGGAAGATCGCGATCCAAAAGGCGCCAGCGCCGCCGCAGCAGGGCAACGAGAATGCAGAAAGATACGAGAAAGAGGAAAGAGTGTCAGTGACTCTAGCCTACATTAGTACACGTTGTGAACTAACTCGTTTCTCTAGTGCAAGGGCATGCAAAACGTGCCGCAGACGAAGTAAACAGCCGCATCCCTCCGTATTTAGTCGTTCCTGCTGATAATCCCGCTCCAGAAGTCAGGTGTTCGGGTGATCATCCGCGTTGCGCCAACTGTGAACGCAACAACTTAGTTTGTGTGTACGATCCAGCACGTCGGGATCGTCTTGGAGAGTATGTTTAGATTAACCATCCAACATTCGACTTACATGCTGACTTTACAGGGCCATGAGGTTGAACAAGAACCTCGTTAATCTCCTAAAAGAACTAGAAGACCGGGTCGATGAAGCAGACAAAAAGGCCATCAAGCAGACATTACATGATGTATGTATTCCGTCAGTTATCTCGTTGCCTGAGAGTGTGACAAGGCTACTGCTGACCTTACTTCTCCAGGTTGAGGATGATCTTGTTTCCCTGGATTCCTTACAATCCGTCAGGACTCTGGGAAAAAGGCCACGCGAGCAATCGGCGCAGAGAAAAGAGCCAGGGGATGGCCATCACGGAGAGGCCCTCGTGACTGCATCCGTCGGCTCCAACGAAGATCTCGACTTCCTTGATGAGGATTTGATGCGCAGCCACGAGTCGAGAGAGACCGGCTACATGGGCCAAAACTCGGAGGTGCAATGGCTACGAAGTGTTCAGCGTCAAGCAGAACGTGGCAACTCAGACCCTCAAGGGCAGCGATACGGCCCTCCAGGCGCAAGTTCGGCAGCTATTGACGAACGATCCGAAGCTTTGCATGAACGAAGACAGAATGCTAGACCGGGCTCGATGCAACACATAACGGACGCGACTTTCTACCTGGACGGCGATGATATTGAGGTCGATATCGCTGTAGATCCAAACGAGATGCCTGGCCCAGACATCGCTGAAAAGCTCTTTGATTGCTATCTGGAAACTGTACACGGCACATTTCCTCTCATGCCCGCTAACTTCGAAGACCAATTTCGACGCTACATTCAATCTCTCAGGTACAGAAATCCGTATCAAATCCCGCCACAATGGCGTGCGACCATGAACCTACTTTTCGCTATTGGCGCCAAATACTCTCATCTCATTGGTGCCGAATGGCGAGGCGATGAGAGAGACCATCTCGTATACATGACACGAGCTGTTCAACTCTTGGGACTGAAGGATACTATATCGTTCCTGGCAGCCCCCAGTCTGGGCAGGGTTCAAGCAGTAAGTGTCCATCTCCATTCAAGCCTCATCAATGTACCTAACATCTTGAACACTAGACAGGAACATTGGCGTTCTACTTCCTTGTGATCGGACACGTGAGTAGAGCCTGGATCATGAGCGGGCTCTCCGTCAGACTCGCCTTGGCACTCGGTTTACACCTGCGTAACGAGGACGATTCGATGAACGACTCTAGGAGAGAGCCGTTGGTGAAGACGTGGTGGTGTTTGCACTCAGTAGAGTGCCTCGTTTCATCCATCACTGGTCGGCCTCCGGTCATTGGAAACGAGGATTGCACTGTAACATTGCCACAGTACGAACCTGGATCTCCAACGCGAGACACAAATGCGGCGCGACGACACTCTCGCGTCCGCACGAACTACAGCTCACCTCAGACTGTTGGAAGTAGCGCTGCCTCTGACTCAGGTCAACGGGATGCGGATGGAAGCCACTATCTGCATACATATGTCACCTTGACCATCATTTCACAGAAGGTCCTTCTCAGCCTATATTCGCCCCGGACCGCAGTCCAATCTTGGGAGGTATGTGTACCATCCTTCCAATCCGACCGTGTAGTCGCCGACAAATGATTCTTGTTTGTGTATAGGACATTCTGCTGACTACTATATCTATAGTACGTACAGACGAAAATTACGGAGCTGCTCAAGGAACTAGAGGACTGGGTCAAGACAGCGTTACCATCTGATGACATCCGTCCGAGTAACTCCACCCAACGACCCGAGCTCAACCGCGAACGTTTTCTACTCAGAATCTACTACTGGAGTACGAAAGTGCTCATCACGCGGCCCTGCCTCTGTCGAATAGAGCGAAGAATAGCAACAGAGAGTTCCAAATCCATGAACTTCAACGCCGAGTCAGCAGAGACATGCGTCGAGTCAGCTCGAAACATGACGATGCTGTTCCCTGAACAGCCAGATACACAGTTCATTTACTCGCAAGGACCGTGGTGGGATGTGGTTCATCTCAGTAAGTTTATCATGATATGAGAAAAGTCTAACAAGAGCTGACGTTCTTTCCACTAGTCATGCAATCAGTAGCCGTGCTGCTGCTGGAGATGGCCTATGAGGGCAAACATCTAAAGGATGAGAGAGACGACATCCTGACGTGCATCAAGAAGATGATACGCTGGCTTCGTGCTATGAAAGTAAGTGACCCAGTCGCTGCTCGGGCTCATGATGTCGTCTACAAGATTTTGAACACTTGTGCGCCTGCTCTTCGGGAGCAAGTCAAGGAGTTGATTGCCGACGATACTGGATGGACTTCTCGGCCCGCAAAGCCTACACGCTCTGCACCGCAGTCAGCCTCCTGGGAGGAAATGCCGCCAAATTTCCCACCCCCGCTTTCCCAAGATCACTTCATGGACCCGCTACTTCCGTACCCTCTGCCAGAACAACAACCAACGTCTTTCGCTTTCGGAAACCCCTTCATGACGAACTTTGATCAAGGCGTACCTCTTGTCGATATGCAACAGCTGTGGTGGCAGTCAGCGCCCTTGAGTCATCTGAACTTCAATCCTTCCGCGATGAACATGTCACAGCAGCAACTCATGCAACAGCAAATGCAGCAACAAATGCATCAACAGATGCAGCAGAGCGGTCTCGCCGAGCAGGAAGACATACAGGGCTCTTCTTGATCGTCTCGCTCGCAGGAAGGGGAAACGGATTGGGGGTGTAGTTTCGGGTTCAGCAGCTTTAAAGCGAACATAGATACTTGAACATCAATAGAGATACCACTCTTTCCCCTCAGCCAACTAGACTCATCGCACCGACACCTTCATGCATGTTCACACAAGACCAAGGCCTCTGCAACGAAGTCCCAACTTCATTCCACTTCACTCTCCATCGACGGTCTCCCAAAACTCGACACGGACTAAGTTTCCATATCCAGATCAGCGAGTATCCCTCCCGAGCAACCTGCCAACATTGACATACCTCATTAGGCGACATAGTCCTGTAGAATACAAAGGCCCTATACGCGGGATCGTATTCACCCTTGACCATCATTTTAGAGTGATCTACAAGTCACAAGTCATCAACACCCTTACCTTTGCATCGAGGAGCCCAGACGACAAGAAGCGTGCTAGCGACCGATACATGGCTACAGCGCCACCCCATATCCACGCCATGACTGTCCTAATTGGCGATATCGCGCAGAAGGGGTGGGTATTGGCAGCCGCGAGTGAAGTGCGAGAGGAGGAGCTTGGGTATCCGCATGAACGCGGGTACCGTGGCTAGTCCAATCAGTGGGTCGTGGGCAGATAAAGGTTTATTGGGAATGCAGAGCTTAGGTAAGACTGAAGTCAAGATGAGGTTCTGGATATGCATCTCGTATTGCGGAATAGGTTCCCGTGACCAATCATGCTAGCGGAGGTGCGCCCAACGTATGAGAATGGTCACGCCATTGGAAACATTGCAAATGTGAAGGGCGTTGGCATGAAGTAGCCCACAAGATTCTTGTTATTGCAATTTACAACCAACCAACATAATCGTAACAGTCTTATGCAAGTCCATCGTTACTTCGTCAGATCAAATCACCCACTAGACGGCTGTCTCTTCTTCAAGACGTTCCTCCGTTGTTTCCGATCCGCCTCCAGTAATCTTTCCCGATCGTTTTTATCCTTGTGAGTCCCACTCCCCTCGCCGAATCCTTCTCCTTGTGTGATGGTGACTCCGCTGACGGCTTTGCCCGCCCCAAGAGTGATACCATTGGCTCCGAATTTGCCCGCCATACTCTTCGTGCTCTGCTGGCTGTCGAAACTGGACCTCCTGGCGGGCGTGTGGTTAGCGGGTGTGGTAGTTTGAGACGGATCTGTACCAGCGACTTCGTCAGAGGACCACCATCCTTCGGGCCGAGACGTCGAGGTTTTTTCTGTCATTTGAGAGTCGCCAACTGACGCACCTGGTGAGCTGAAGGATATGGTTGACATCCTGTTTGTTGAGGGGGGTGGTGAGGATATAGTTGATATCCTGTGCGAGGGTGGTGGCGACATGATTCTGTTGCGGGAAGGCGAGGGCTTCTCTTCGGTTTGGGTTCTTCGATGAGTGGGAGGTCGTGGCGTTTGAGACGCTTGGAAGGGACTGGCTAGTGACAATGGCCTTTCTGCTATCGTCGTACCATCGATGGAACTCGGTGCGCGCGAGTGCTGAGACACTTTTCTTGTCCGCAGTGCCGGTGGAGCTGTCGCACTCTCATCCCCTGCATCTTCGTCATCTTCGTCGCCGTCTAGTCCGGGTAGCTTGCTGGACTCTGGTAGGAGACCTTGGTACCGGCCCGGCGATCGTAGACGTCGTTGTTTCTGACTCTCTAGAGCTGCTGCTTCTGAGCCTGCGAATTTGTCCAACGCTTCAAAGACGTGCGGGAAGACGAGTGTGTGAACAGATTCCGCCCACAGGAAGTCCAGGTGCTCGTAGTGAGGGATCTCTTTGGCGATAGTATGAGCTGGGAGCTCCTTGAGCATGACCTTGATATCGACTAGACTGTCCGAGCCGCCGTAAACAAGCACGATAGGCGTCTTGATGTTCTTAGTGGGGAACTTGGCAACCTTGTAGTACTTGGATCGGTTGGATGTGATTGGATTCGGCGCTTCATCGTCGTACATTTGGAACGTGCCATTCCGAATGATCTGGAACCAGTGTACCACGCTTTTAGTCGACGTGTATGAGTAGAGATGTGGGTACGCTGCGAGCTTTTGCTCGGGTAGGATGTTGACGGCGGACCAGTTGAAAAGGAAGCGCAGGGATGTGTCGATGAATCGGACGAAAATAGGAGGATATAGGATGGATTGCCACATGGTTGCCGAAGGGAGAATGGTCTTTCGTCCAAACGCCAAGTAGAGGATATCCGGAGAGGCTTTGACAAAGGCGTCGACAATGCCAGACGCAACACCCTTAGGAGACATGGCCGGGGCTAGCGCAATGAAGACATCAACCTTCTCGTTCAGTGTAGGGTGGATGGACAAGGTCGCGAAAGCCTGCGCGGTTCCTTGCGAAAAGCCAATGTACGACAGGGAGGGCTGGTGCGTAGTCTCGAGGATGTAGGCGATGGAGTCTGGGATGTCGTGGAAGGCGAACTGGTCCATGCTGAAGTTCCAGAAGCTGCTCGAGGTAGGGGGCGTGTGGACGCTTTTCTTGGAGTACTTGTTTCCACGGTTGTTGCCGAGCCAGACGTCGTATCCGCGCTCGACCAGCTCAAATGGCAAGCATCGCTCTTTGTCGGTCAAGCAGACCCAGACCTCGCTGTTCATCATGAGACCGTGGTGAAGGTAGACGACCTTCTTCTTGACGCCCTTGGCCCTGTCTCCGCTGTTGACGCGCACGTTTTCCTCGCCCTGTCGCCAGCCCAGCCGGTGCAGACCCAGGAGATAGCCATCGCCCGTCTGCACAATGTGTTCCTCGCAGTAGTAGCCGTAGAGGTCGCAGAGCTCGGTAAAGTCGGAGGCATTGGCGATGGAGCTCCACACGCCCTTCTTCTTCTGGCGCGAGCGCTTGGACGAGGGCGACGAGAGGTGGTTGAACAGGCGGCGCGTGAGGCGGTAGCAGAAGTTGATAATCGGCGTGGGCAGGGCAAGCGTGATGACGGCAATGAAGGACTCGAGGCCGATGAGGCAGATGGAGAGAAACAGGGCGATGTACTCGCGGATGTGGAGGCGCGACAGGAAGGGTATATGGAGCGCCATGCTGCCCAGGTGCCCTCGGGCGTGTGTAGACGGGCAGGGCACAGAAGCAATTAAAGCAGAGACAAAATGGCAGCGCGACAACGCATCGCCCCTCTGTACGCGCGGGCCTCGGAAAGTTCACAGCTCGCGCTCCAGCCCCTCTTGAGTTACGATGAGGTCTTGCAGGATAGAGTCTGAATGACGTTCCAGACGGAAGCAGCCATCCCTGACATGTGACAACGCATCCTAGCCCCGGAGGTTAGCGCGACGTTTCGCCGACGGCTGTGAAATGTTAGCTCCACTGCATCACTCCACACATGCATTGTTGAGTGCGCTGGTAGCCACACGCGACCTCCTGCCACCATGCCGCAGTCCTGCAAAGACATCCGTATGGCTTGTTCAATATCTTCTGCGATGCCTCGGCTAACCGGAGTGGCTAGGCGCTGCGCTGGCATTCTGCCTCCAAAATAGCGACTGCATCATGGTCGACCGACACACGCCCGGTGAATGTCTGCGCCCGCCCCTCAAATACACCCTCCCCACCCAGTGCCAGCAGCTGCAAAAGGGCTACGCCGAATGCAAAAAGGGCATGATTGACATGCGCAAGCGCTTCCGCGGCAACCGGCCCATTGCCGTGCCCGGCCAACTCGAGACGGGCGCATTTGGCCAGGGCCGCTCCGAGGCGGACGAGAAGGCGGGCACCATGGAGGAGAAGGGATACATGCTCTACGCGGGGCGGCCGTACAAAGACGTCAAGGAGACCAAGGGCGATGAGGATCCAGAGAACAAGGGCCTGGACCGGTAGTGCTGGTCCACGGCACACGACAGCATAGATTGGCGTTTGGGTATCACGAATGGGGACCCCCTCTCCCCTCTGTATAGCAAGCCTGTACACTACGCATACTAGCGATATATCACGAACCTCTGGGTATGATGACACGAACAACTGCAACCCCTCCTTGACTAGCTCGCTCTCTAGATTGCAAACACATACGATTGATCGAAGCACTCGTCCCACCCGGCAACCCCGCCCTTCCAGTATCTCTTCAGCACCGAACATACTTTGAGTGGGCAACTCGTCCCCAGCGTCCTACTCAGATCCTCCAAGCCCGCTTCGATCCAGTTGCGCGTCCCTTCCCCGCGATGCATAGCTTCTACACCCGCGACGATCAGCGGCCAGACCATAAACTTAGCCATACGCGGGGCCTTGAGTGCAGTGTCGAGGTTGCTGAGCAGGACGTCACCGTAAGCTGTTTGGTTCTCGAGCAGTGAAGGCGTCATCGGGAGGACCATGAGTGGGCAAAGGGACAAGGTGGCGTAGAGCGCGACGGCGGATTTGTACACCAGGCCAACAGTCAGCCATTCGGTACAGAAGGTGCCAGCTCGCGCCCAGTCCTCGACTGAGAAGGCCTCGATGCGGCCGAGGACGCCATAAGCTTCGAGTGCATAATTCGGGTTGAAATCACACAGTTGTATTGCTGCAGATGCTTTTGCGCGTAGCTGGTTCGTCCGCAATATCTCAGTGAAGAGTTCTCGCGGACAGAGCGTGTACGGGAAGATGAGACTGTACACGTCGGTTATATCTTTGGTCATTTCCTCCGCAGTGTTGCTGATGTCGACTTGGTCCCATGACGGACTGCACGTGTTGGAAAGAGACACGATACTGATTATATAAGTAGGTTTTCAATCTAAAGGGCAAATAGACATACAGTAGGTAGAGCACCATCGACGGGATCAGGTACGGGGCTTGCTTCATGACCTGCTTGGGTCCACCTCTGAGGTCAACTATCCGCTTCATGGCATTCACATGTGAACGTCCATCCGCAAAGGTGGGGTTTTGGAGCTAGAGGTACGTATCAGTACGTGACTCCAAGTTTCACATTCCAGACGCGCTCGCATACCTCTAAGCACATGAACATGAGAATCGTAGTGATAGTCATGTCCGAGCATCGTGTCTTGTCCTGGGCAATATGTCGACTTAATGCTCGCAAAGCTGCCCCTCGATGTTGGTATACTTTTGTCCGCGCTATCACCGCTGTATGGCCTGCGTCTAGTGGTAGACTGTGGATGAAGTGGTTGAGTGACAGGCAGACTAACGCATGATGGATGGACGGCGTAAGCAAATGCAAGACTTGTGGGGGAAAGAGTACGAGGGCGGGGTTGGGTGCCAGTTCTTGGGATGCCTTGTATTGTGGGTGTATCCGTACATTGTCTGGTAGCGTCAGCCATTGGCCACACATGTCGCTATAAAGCTAGCCCCATGTTCCATGATGAGAAAGGAAGTCACTCACAGTACTGGACGGCTTGCACCACTTCTGATGTCTCGTCCACGAGATCATCATAGAGTGGTACGTCTTGCATGCTCAGGAACGCGAGCAGTCGCTTCAGCCGTGGGAGTGGATCACGACTTGAGCGCAATACGCTTGCGGCTTCCTCGTGCAAACCTTTCTGCACGATCTCTTCAATCTTGGCCCTTCCGCCGATCTCGAATACCCTGGCGGCCTCTTTGGCCACGGCTATCATCTTGAAGGATAGCACATGAAGCTCAGTCACCCGATACTGGGGATTGACGATCCGGTCCTTTACCCATTCGGTCAAGGTGGCTTCGTAGTCTATGGGTTCGCAGGCATAGTCGACTTCACTCTTAGCCGCTGTCTTGTTGCTGGATCTTCTCCGCGGACTACTGTCTTTCTTTCCTCTTCGTTTGGACTTCACCATCCCTGGCTGAACCCACTGAAGTGGCTTCGCGTCGTCGTAGCCCGAGCATTGCCGACCGCGTTTCTGACACTTGTTGCAGCGCGGCAGCGTCTTGTCGCATACTAGTCGTCGTTTAAGACACTCCCAGCATTGGCGTGTTGCACTCTTTTCTCCCGCTCCGGCCATGGTCGCTTCTGAATGCGGGTAGATAGAGATTAACCGGAAGGTACCCGCAAAGAAGGCGGCAATGGCAGCGGCTTTGGTGGCCTCATAAAGGCGTGCATTTCTGCAGCTTTATTACCATAGAGGGCTTGTCTGACTATCATAGGTGGCTGGTGGTGATGAGTTCAGCTGGTTATCAAGTCCGTCTTGGCCAGCTTTACTGCTGTATTGGGTCTAGTCCAGCGAGGAAGCTTATGTGCATGTGGCGCTGGGGGCCTGAGACCCGAGTGTCTTCGTATTCGGAGGTGCCGAATCGACATGTCTTGTGCTGAAAATCGCAACCGAAAAGTGCAGATTGTGAGCGACTGAAGAAAGTTTCGAAGCATGTATACATGCGCATTTAGCAGTCTGCCTAGCGTGATGTGGCTGTTCATGAGGAAGGCGCGCGCGGGCGACGCGTTCCTGCCCGAGCGGCAGTTGCGTCATTTGACAGCCGAAAGCTAGTGTGAAGCTCGATTGGCAGGTGCGCCTCACAAACGGCCACCACGATAAAGCTTTAGTAAATATGGTCATCAAGATCTCGTTCTGCTATCCGGCACATTCTTCGCTGTGTTCTTGGATGTGCTGCTACCTGCCAACATCCAAATGGTGTGAGGTATGCTACTCTGCCGTGCTCCGAGCTTGAGACGCGACAGCGATGGAATCGTTCTGCCTTCCAAAGTTGCGTTTCTTGAGCCAAGCTGATTGGATCGAGAGCATGCAAGTGGTATACGGGAGGAGTACTTAGCTGTGCAATTGTATCGAAGGCTTGGCCATCAATAGTGCTGTGTCAGGACAAGCCTGTAGTAATCCTATTGGACATGCCGATTGCTCTTCTCTTGCCCTTGGAGTCAGCAACGATCATTCGAAGATCAAATTGCAGCCGCTACAGCTTAAATACTTGGGTTCGCATGTCACTTCTCATGCTCTTCATTTACCTCGTCAAACAAAATCTACCATGGCTCCCTCAGACGGTGAGATCGTTCCCGGAAGTGTCTACCTATATCAGCCTGTTAAATGGGCCCCTCCTATGTTCGCCGTGTGGTTCGCAATTGCTACCCTTGGGCATGTTTGGCAATGCTTCAAGTACAAGGCCTGGAAAGTCACCGGTCTCCACCCCTTCTGCGGTCTACTGTTCACAGCTGGCTTTGTCGTACGTTCCTATGGGGCCTTTGATTACGAAAACATCGGAGCATACGTCGCGAGCTCTATCCTCATATTATGTGCACCGTAAGTAGCTCGCCCTTCTCTTTTGAGGTGGCTAACAAATCACCAGCCCCATCCTTGAGCTGGCCAACTACCATGTGCTTGGTCGAATATTCTACTACGTACCATACCACTCGCCTCTGCATCCCGGCCGTACCCTTACAACGTTTGGCGCAATATCCAGCATCGTTGAAGTTCTGAACGCGATCGGCGTCTCCTGGCTAGCGAACCCCAACATTCTCGAGATCTATGCCGACATCGGACATGTCCTAATGAAGGTGTCACTGATCTTACAAATCGGTGTCATCCTCCTCTTCTGCATAATTGCCGGCGTCTTTCACAGACGATGTATCAGGGGTGGCATCAAATCGCGGAAAGTACAGGGCCCTCTCATCACACTGTACATCAGTCAGGGCCTCATCCTCATTCGCACGATCTACCGCTGCGTCGAACATTTCGGCATCAGCCGCGTACCAACAAATCCGTCAAAAGACTGGGATCCCATGAGTCTCTCGCCAATCGTTCGATACGAATGGTTCTTCTGGGTTTTCGACGCGAGCTTCATTCTCCTAAACACCGTGCTGTGGAACTATCGCCATCCGCGTCGCTACCTACCGGAGGACTACCATATCTACTTGGCTCAGGATGGGCAGACCGAGCTGGAAGGCCCAGGTTGGAAGGATGACATGCCGTGGTTTATGACCTTTATAGATCCGTGCGGACTTACTGCGTCAATTACCGGTGGTGGTCGAAGGGCAGAGAGACCATTCTGGGAGGATAATGGCTATGAAACTTTTGAACTCTTTCAAAGAGACACTGGTGACGTGGGAGTTAAAGCCTGAGAGGGCTGTACGCTCTGGTGAAAAATACGAAGGGGGTTCGCTGTTTATAGATTCCTTGTTGATTGATCGGTTGCGAGTTAGACTTGTACAGATAGCGCTGAAAGCTCCAAATGCGGACCTTCTCATCTCGCACACCATCGGTAATGAGACCTTGGGAAGCTGCAAGTATGCGGCATCAAGGTGACGCTGCATATCCCGAGTATAAGGGGACGGAGGGCTGTGGATCAAGGAGGGCGTCGATTGAAGGCTGCGGGCGTAGGTAACAGGGCGCAGCGTAGTGGGAGCTGTCACCGCTTTGAGAGGAAAGGCTGATGTCATAGACGCGTCGCTGGCCGCCTCTCAGCCCTTCCAACACACGACAGGCCCCACTACGCGGCCCGCCTGATCATCCACCTTCCTCCATCTGGCCATGTCTGCCTATGCTACTCTTCGCGTGCATCATGCCTGAAGTTCTAGAAACTATATCAATGCTGATTGCTGCTGCGATTGATGGTGGAGGGCCATTGCGCAATCTACCTCGGCTCCGCACACCATGATCGCGAATCTCGACACGCGTCGCATCCGGTCTTCCACTTCCGCTGAGCTTCGAGACTACTACACCCAAATACTGGACGATGTGCCAATCCAGGAGATCACGACACAGCTCCTCTCAGCTATTGAGAGAGGCTCGATATCGCCGCTCACCTTCGGGCCATGGCTCGGCGTAGCACAGTCGCCTCTCGCTACACGCGAAGCGCTCAATCAAGATAAATCCGTACTTGTCCGCAAGCTCGGCATCAAGTTTCTGCGTAAAGGACTTTGTTCTTCGCGATGGAGAGAGACGTGGGATGGCGTTGGAGGAACTGCTGGGTTGCTTGACATCTTTGCCGACCTCTCAGTGATCGAGGTCAAGGCTGCTTGTAACGCAATTGGTCGTTCTGGTAGAGGCGCTGACCTGAATGCGAAAAGAGAGCTCTTCACGAAATTCTTCAAAGCGCTGCACCCTGATCGCTTCCCCGATTCGCCGCATAAGACGAAAGATCAGCGTGCACTTGGAAGGTTCTATCGACTCATCATTCCTGCGTGTTCGAAGGAGCTGGTAGAAGAGGCCATCGCAAGCGGGTCGAAAGGAACATGGAAAGATGCGCGAACCAAGGATCTCGTCAAGTACTATCCGGAGTGTATGCAAGAAGAGCTTCTCCAAGCGGTGAGCGCGGAACAATTACCCAGCGACAACATCACGGTATTTACAGAGCTACTGCATCACCATCCGCCAGGTAAATCGACCACAAAGGGCTTCTCCAAGTCGATGGAGTTCTCTTTGAGACTCTTGGAAACCCTTGGTAATTCAGCGCACTCGGTAGTGGCGGACGAAACTTTCATCGACCAACTCGTCGATCCTCTCATTAAACGTGCAATCAAGAACCACGCAGGTTGGGATATGATACAACGAATAGTCGATCTCACAATGCGGTACTTGGAAGCCCATCCAAGCACAGGATGTCACATCACTGGCATCGAGGGCGACTTTCTCCAGCAGGTCGCCTATTGCTGGTCACAACAGCCAAGTTTGTTCGAACAGCAACTGCGGAGGCTCTGTTCTCATCCGGTATTCGGTACGGCCAGCAAGACCAACATCGAAGACTGGGATGACGTCCTCGCAAGCATTCCAGCAAAGCGAAGTTACCCACTCTTGAGACTTTGCTACCAAGAGTCCACCTCGCTTGACCTTGACAGCGATGCGGATCTGAAGAAGACCAAGGGCTCGATCCATCCCAGCTTTTTCGCCAATCTGTCCCCTGCCGACGCTCTGCTACTGTTTACTCGTCTGCGAAAAGCGAGAGGAGATGCTGATCTAATCGACCTTGATCGAAATCGCTCTATTTTCGGCCAAACGCCAACTTATGAACTTCAAGGTCAAATTGGTGACCCGGATATATTTCACTTCTGGCTACTAAGCCTGAACAACAAGGAAGAAGACGCCAAGATATTGGCCAATGGCTACGTTGATGTGCGCAAGAAGAAGGCTGCTACTGCATCTCAGCCGGAACAACGTGCATTCTTTGCCAAGTCAGCGCTATTTGCTGCTATCGCCAGTGGGTCTCTCGACCTGCTGAAAGATACGCTGGAGTGGACCAAACGCTTCTTGCGAGATCCGCTCGTGATGCGGGAGATCTATCCAAACATATTTCCTGAAGAAGCTACACGCCTACTATCAGGTATTCCTGCATCGATCAACGGATTGCCAAGCCTGACTGTGCTACAACACCGAGTCGCAATGGCGAACACGATTTTGCAAGGAATGTTTGACACAGCATGCGAAGCCCTCAGGGAACCTTCGTTCAACGCGTCTGATTGGGGTGGCGTCTTTGAGCTATTCCACGATGTTATCAAACTACGGATGGATCTCACACCACATGTCAAGAAGCAACTCAGAGCCCCTGATCACGGTATACATGCCTGCATTTGGCAGGTCACGATTCCTATGCTCATTGCGGTCGAGGAAAAGGCGCAAAGAGAGGAATGCGCAAGACTGGAGGCGAATCATCCCCGTGGTATTTTTGCCCATCACAGATCCTTCACTATTGAGCTTGAAAGCTCCGACGTCTCGACATATGTCTTCTTAGACACCCTCGCACGAGCGAGAAACGAACTCTGGTCCAAGCTAAGGCCGCTAGACCGTCCTGCCACACTAGCGCTTCCTGAGCCCTTTCCTCGAGGACTTCCAATACAATACCTGACTGCACCGTGGATTCTGAACGTGAAGGATCTCAACAGTATAGGGGCGTCTTA